CCCCAAAACCCCAAAACCCCAAAACCCCGTCTGTCTTATAATGAATCCAGATATCTAATGATATTCTTATAAATTTAAAATTACATATAAATTTAGACTATAGTAGTTTTAATATCGAACAATACAATATGAATTTCATCTTAAAGTCTTACATTTGATAATACTACTACGACCCACAGCAACATCTTCATCAGAAATTCGAATCTCATCATATGGAGATTGCTACCCAGAATCAAGTTTAAAACTTTTTTGTGATTAATCGTTATCGTCCTCTATGATTGGAGACCCAAAAAGTACCATAGTTAGTTTGCGTCTCCTTTCTTGAGAAATTCCATAAACTGAATCATCGTTGATTATTGCATCACTATTTGCTGAGTGAGCTATTGAAATTTTTGTTCTATTGCTGTGAAAGCTGTATGTAGGTCTTCTTTATTTTTTCATTGAGGAATTCGTACGAATTATTCCATTATTTCTGACCTAAAAAAGAAATATATTAAACATCATATTTTTACGTACTTCATCAAACCTATGGAGATTGATCTCACTTTATATTCTGGGTCTTTTCATTTCAAAAAAGTTATTGTCACTTTGGAAGGTGAAAAGTATTCTATTCATTTGCTACTATGATAACTCAGACTCACCTCTTTTTCTACTATGTTAGAAAGGTGAATCCCCTCCACCAATATTTGAAAAATCAGTGTTATCTGGCATGGATTCCATGTCTTACAAAGCTCCTTCTCCGTTTATATTATTAGTAATCATGTCCATTAGAGTATTGTCAACGATAGAGTCAAGTTTCATGGAAGAGTCGCTAAATTTGTCTTTATCTTTACTCTTCTTTTCCTCATCTAAACTTCCGAACCTATTCTACAAATATTGTACTTTGATGGGAGGAGAAGATCTTTTTATTTTATAAATAATCATTACGATTACTATAAATTCCTGAAATGAAAGAACTGATGCCACAATAATAATTATGGTTCCAGTTAATTCCATGTAGTAATTCAGAAGTATTATTGATGGAGTGATTAACGCGAAGAAAAACAAATATCGAAAGATAGCGAATAACTTGAACGTCTACCTTGAGTCCACGTACTACTACTTCAAATAAACTTGTCTTATGTACTCAGTCAGAGCAGAATATAAGAATCAACCACATAGAATAATGCATATCGCTACTCTCCCATTTTTTTATTTTGCAGCTTTGTTATTATCCGCAGAATAGGCTATTTGTAAAAGTCCAATTATAAGCACAATGAAAATGATAAAATCGAATATAACAAAGAACAAAGAAGGTCTCTTAATGCCCATACAATTTCCATCACTGCTCATTTTAAGATTTCTTTAATTTCTAAAATATATCTCCTAAATAAGATCTCATTTACTAAAACTTGCTTCATTACCTCTTCTTGGGGTTTTGGGGTTTTGGGGTTTTGGGG